TTGCCTCGTCTTGCAACACCTTTGCCAAGCCAGTGTCCAGCTGAGACTACCATATGGCATGAATATCGCCTCCATTACCCGGCTCGACATTAGCTGCAATTTATTTCAAGAATTATCATAACGCAATGAATAACTGCTAGGTCACCGAGCAGACGCGACGTGTGAGAAGATGATGAGAATCGCTGGACAGGATACTCATCTAGACGTAGTTCGTGTCACCTCATTTGCACACGTGCTAACAAACCGCTGTTAGTGCTACACGGGTTGATCTTGCAAAGCATCTACCCATTCATGCCTGTCTTTCCAATATTGATCAGGTTCCTACGAAGATCTGGGTTTAAATTGTTTGTTTTGGTAACAGAAATGAGGCCGTCTTTTGACGGAGAACATTAAATCACACTAGCACCGTGTGTGATTAGTGGAAGTCAACCCAGACTAGAAAGTAGATTGGCCACTACACTTTACCGAGTTTACGAGAGCCTTCAATGAGTGCGGAATTTAAGATGTGTCATTGACTAGTGTACAAAAACACTTGAAAATACTTTAACGAAGACGTACGACGAAGTAGTGCATGACCACCGGCTGGCTATTCACAAAATTATGGGGGAGATAACAGAACTGTTTGAACAATGTCAAAAATGTTTTATCAGTGTTTTCAGTGCACACTCTTTGCACTTTGCTCAAAGCGGACAGATGACTCATCTTTAAATTAATCGAGTCACGATGACTAAATTATGTCATCTATTAAATAATAATTGTGGCCAACAAAAACAGCTTAAGGCAATCCTCCGTCTAAATTCCTGAATGAAAACGGAGGCGATGCCACTCAAGTCTGCCAATTAATAAGGTTATCTAATACAACCAAATGAATTTAAAATCTTGCATGTTTAATGTCAGAACCAGTAAATGCACTAAACCTGTTCCTTGTGTTCTGTGGGAATGTTACAGAGGTAATAAATTCAAAAACTGTAGTGGGCAGTTTAAATGGTTTAGCCAGATTTATTAACCTGCAAATTCACACACATGTACTACCTGTGTATCTTTGTTCGTCAAACATTCTCTTCCAATTCCGGGCTCAATTAATTTCTGTGGTTGCACGCAGTGAAAACATACAAACACATTCACTGAAAAAAATCAGAATTGCCATTTAAAAAGGCTTGTTATTAGGAACAAACTGGAGCAGTTAAAATGGGGAAAAGAATGAACGTGTAAATTAACTTCTACTTCTAGTCGATTAATTGCAAGAATTTGCTTCAAAATGGCTGTGGGTTACAGCTTGATATGTAATTTGCCCTTCGTCATACAAATGGGGCAGACTCAGCATGGTTTTAGCATAACACAAAGAGCTCAATAAATAATTTCGTAAGAGATAAAAGCCTTAGTTAAAACCTCATCTCCTAATTTCCTTTAGAAACTATTTAGTTATTTCAACACAAAGCTCTGTTTAAACGATGAACGATGAGATATTTATAGTTTAGCATGATGCTTGAGTGGATTGTGTGCATAGCTGACGGCCCGAGATGAATCTTACTCTTGCACCGAAATTATACAAAGAATCGATTCTAGGATTCACTACTTACTTTCATTAAATAATACCTGAGAGAAGGTCTTATCAACGGTAATCACATTTTTTAAAGAATAGTTAAAAATAAACCGCACAAAATTTTGTTGCAGTATGAACATTAGCTACTTAGTACATTTAAGTAGAAAACGATTTTTTTCTAGGAAAAGAATGAGACGGCATGATTTTTAAATCTGTTATTCACCTGGTTAACACTGTGCCAATTCATCTTGGTAGCATTGCCAACTGACTTGTCACGACACGATACGACATTACAATTTCGTTTACACATAACTAGGTTAGTGCTGTGCCTCTGAACCATTAATGACTGGAGTAAGCCGAATTTCCACAGCACCTCAGGCAGGAGATTGTACAACCCCTCAATCTCTTTACCCTGAGCTGAGGTTCGGCAGTTCGCTGTGGTCAGAAGAGCCATCGAAGCTGTGCATTTCAGCACTTAAGCTTTGGCACATAGTTTGAGGGTGAATGTGTTGTAAGAAGTACTGAATTGACTCGACGGGGGCAGATTTCAGGACTCCGAGTAGCCTTTGGGGCAGGCAAACTTTTCGCATGAAAAAATGGGTATTTAGGCATCGGTGCAGAATGCGATTGATTGATTGATTAATTGCATGCCTCGTCCACGTTGAGATCCATGTGAGGACAGCCACAAAGGCCTGGTCAAGAGTCAAATAACATGTTCAAAATTGACTGCAGACCACAAAGTTTTTGGGCAAATTGTTTTGGCTGTGGGCTGATACATACAAGTCAATGGCTGAACCCTAGCCAATTTTAGAATACCACACTGTGTGTCAACAAATTACGAAATCCAGATAGCCGTCTAGTACACAACCTAACCCAAGAGTTCCTGCCGGGGACCTAGAACCACGTTGTGGCCATGTCCGGATTTTTTTCTTGGGAATAGTAATAGGCAGGGGAGGGAGATGCTCACAATGGGTGGGTAAGGTGTTAAAGGTCACGAAGCCATCATTTGCAGTCTGAAAAATGCATTGAGACTGAAAATTCATGTTCTGTTTCACTGCTCCCTAGCAGTTAATTCGTGGAGCCCTTCGATAACATTCAGCACATTTTACGCACAAATTACGACGCTTCCCGGTTGTTTTAGCCGAGAATTGACATCCTCCCCTCTGTACGACGGCGAATTTTATTGGAAGCCTCTGCCCACCTCGTCAGTCGACAGAGTTGCAGTTTCTGGAAATATATGAACAAGCACCCCGACAACCACTTAACAATTTTTTTGTGTAATGCACAAAGCTGATGACTCATTAATAAATACCCACCTTTCCACAGGCTCACAAAGGCACACGGACTGGTATGTACGCAGTTACCTAACAACCTCGACTGCTCGTCGTCAGGCTGTTTTATTATGGGGGGCTGCATCGAACGAGGACTCACACCAAAATCGAATCGCTAATTACGCAAACAAACTTTCACTGCCAATAACGCACACCGAATCAGTGGTTATTTTTGCTCCATTGAGACATATACAATAAATAGCTGGACAGGGTAAATGATTTCGGTGCCCTGTTAAATGTACACACCCAGAACACACTAATTCAAAGAACACAGGAGACCGAAGGAACATATTCAGGCAGTACGGACTCGTGAAATCGTCTTGAAACCGTCTGTTACGCAGTGGGACTGAAAAGTTCCATGTCGGAATCAGTCTAAATAACACTGGTATACAATTATATTGATGGATCTGTTGAAAGCAGAACCTTACCTAGATCATTAATAAAGGTGAACGAAACTACTGCTAAGACACAATGATTTAATGGATTACGGAAGCCCTACCGGATCTAAAAAACTCATTTGAAACTGTCAATCTCCTTACCACATCTAGTAGCAGCTTAATAACCAGCATGTGCCTTGAATACGTCTAACCGATCGTCATAAATAATGCACATTTTTGCAAAAAAAACTCATTTGTTATTAGAACCAGGGCTTAACCCGTTTCATATTCAAGGATTAATCACTGACAATAATATGGCGCCTGGAAATCTTGAGTCCACTTATCGATTTACCTCCTGCGCACCACCGACTACCCCAAACCAGAAAAATTAGTACAAACCGCACAATGCAGATAAACATTGGCAAAAATCTTCCCACAAGTTCATACCAGACACGGAGACTAAGGTAAGCGGGAGAACACGAGCCAGCCAAACAAAATTGTTTACTTCATAAATCACACGACGTGGATTACCACAGTCAGCATTTCACGAAACTAGTTATAAACGTCGAGGATACTGTTGCATTAGCAAACACCTATCCCAGCTAAATTTTCGAGTGAAAATGCCTAATTTGTGCGACCTTTCGGCTCTTGTTCCCATTAATTAACAGGACTTAAATCAACATTCACGAGTATGAGTTACCTCCAGAGGGAAAGCAGAATAGTAGGCACAAATAACATCTTGTTGGACTGAAAATTGCAGGTTCCTATTCAATTGAAGTCGTATATTCACATCCCTATGAATCTACTTTTGAAAGATAAGTTGGGTGTTTAGTCCAAACGCGTTTAAAGTCATCTCTCAAGACGTTGGAGGGTTTTAAATCGTACAAGCAATGGGTAGGGAGACAGACCAGAATAACAAATAACGTTTACAAGCATTAAGAATGTAAACTAATTAGAATTGAGGATATTTTAAACCAGGAGTCGCCTGATCAGACAGTACCTGAATTAATGACTTGGGTCATGAGGGGATGAGTCCAGGGAGCACTACACAATAGCAAAATCCATCAGAGCGCTAGCATCTCTGCACAATTCCTTGGAGGCTATGGATCCATTCACTTCAGTTCCTTAAGGCATCGAAAGACAGCCCAACGAGATCTGCGAAATCAACTGCACAGACAACGCCCAGTTACGATGGCCACCTCAAAGCACCCAACCAAGTGATCCCCACTATGCCGTGACTGTGGTTCAGATCAACTAGTCAATAAAAAAGGCGTGGAACAGGCTCACGGGGGTGAGATTTACGTGATAGAATCAGGCCAGAAGAAAGTCAGTAAAGATTGAAATTTCGAGTTGAGAAAAAGATAATGGGGCGACAGAAAAAAGTAACAACGCAGAATAAGTGTAAAACAAGTGACTAGGGACAGGAGAGTGGGCGGACAACATGCTTCCCTGTCAATGGGCTATCATCAGAGCACATGTGTGAAATCAGACACATCGGGTACAAAAGGAAAGTTGGGAGACGGAGGTGGTGGTATTAAATAACACGTGCTCACGCGTGACGATGGAATGAAGCGATGTGATTAAGGTGCAGTCGGTTTCAAAAACGGTACTACAAACACTAAACACGTGTTTCGTGGAGCATATTCGAGGGGTAGGGCAGAGAGCAGAGGAATTATGCTTGCCCGTCTATGTGCAAACACCAGCATAAAAACAGGTCACCACTCGGAATTCAGAAGAGTGAAAGGCGGGTTAGTAGGAGGGTCCGTTGGTGGGGTAGAAACTTCCGGGACCGGCGGCAGGGGGCGCCATCATTCCTGCTCCGTAGCCGCCAGGTTGTGGCATCATCGAGCCTGTCAGCATCAACGGGGTATCGGTGTCTAAAGAACATTAACAGAAAACGGTGAACTTTGAAGTCTTGAGGCGTAGATCAATCGAAGTGGGGGATTCGACAGCACCTTCCCCATTCAATCAACATGTCCGAACGTACACCAACGCTCTAGGTAGAGCTCAATGCGGGTAGTGAAGTGAATACAATCAAAATGAATTTGGGCTACCGAGAAACAGGTTTCCTAAAACCCAGTTACGATGAACACACTAGCCGAAACTACTATCAAGGGCGATGTGGAGGAAAACAATGGAACAAAGCCAGAGTATTTTAACCAACATGACGAGAAAAAACCATTTGACGGGTGACCTTGGGAAGGCACACATGGGAAATGACGTTTAACCGGGCGCCTGTCATCAGACTGCTAAGTTGAAATCTCAGGAATGGCCACAGACCACAAGTAGTTCAGACGTGCTTGAAGCGACTTGTTCAGTTGCCTGTTCGTAAACTCGGGCCGTTTTTACATGGAGGGTCTGATTCTACCAATCACACAAAAGCGGTAAAACGGTTTTTGAAAACTCCCAAAACAGTTCCAGTTACTGGTTTAGCAATTTATATGACATTCGACGCAATCCGACTCACTATCCACGTGAACTCAGACCGCCAGGGAATCGGCCAAGTACGTTTTCGTGTCTCAGCGTTTGGATACTTTTACCGATGCAACCGAATAGTATTTCTCAGTGATCTCTACTCGACTGAGGCATTCTGCCACACTTGAGCCCAGGATGCAAGCATGGCATGAAGCCAATGCGAGCGGCGCGCCCCACACGGAGACTGAGGATCAGTTTCAATGGACGCGCTGTACTGACACTACCAGGGTGGAAAAGCAACTGAGGCGAGTGCGCAAGGGAGCGTGGGCACGCACCTACGCACCACGCGCGCACAAACACTCCATCGATTGGAAGGCACGCGTAGCATCGCCAACCGGGAGGAGGCTGGCAGTCCAAACGCCAAGCGGACGAATGGGCTGGCGAGGCGTGGTGCGCGTTAGAGCAGCAGAAGCAGTCAACCGATTAGGGCAGATTCAGTAATTTCTGGGTTGAAATGGGCAATCAAGTGACTCCAGTTCCGACATGTTCGGGATCCTGCGGATACGCAAAAACCCACCGACCGAGGATCGATCGAATATATCACCGGAATTAACGCCTTGCCACCGGCAAGAGGGACTGCATACCTAAGTATTTGCATGCGAATAGGCTCCAATCAAACTGGGCAAATGCAGTTCACTTTCAACTTGTTCGATGGCATCTGTTAATATGAATTCAACACGCCAGCACTTTCCGCACCCCTTGCCACCGCACGAATGCCCCAAGGCATGTAACCAAACATTTTAACAGTAGGGGATTTAGGTCATTTGTTTGCTGAGCACTTGTCATGCAACGCCTTGCTCACAAAATTGACGAACCAACATCTTAAAAACTCAGTGGTGAGGAAGTGGCGATGAGAAAGGTAGCGACTTACGGAGAACAAGGGGGTTTACAGCTTGTTCCTTCTTTTCCTCTTCCTCGGAACGAGTTCGTTCAGACTTCTCGAGATGATCAACCTAAATCGAAATCCGGGCTGTATTAGTCAAATATTTTACATACGAACACTGGAAAATGTAGGGTGCTGCTACGGTAAAATTAAACGTAAAGAATGTAGAAATCGCGGGACGTAAACTGAATTAAATGACTATAATTACTCACAGGATTGTTACCGAATTGTTTTTTTATCTCCTTTCAAAACACACCAGCCATGTTTCTTTAAGTGACCTCCACGGTTTTAACCCAAAATCTAAAACCCTCTGGCCAAGCAAGGCCTCTCGATTTGCCGAGTGTGTAAATTTCCCAGAAACTGACGGTTTTGTGGTCCGAACGAGTTCGATTTAGCCGATTAACCTGATTCTACCTCGCGCCTAGTGTCCTAACACAAACCATCAACGCACAAGCCGTGATTCTGAAAGTATGTACTGGATTGCAGTTGATTTTTTTTTCGTCAGGCGCGTCTCCGCTAGAAGACGGTCAGAGCTGTGCAGATGCCGCAGCGCAAATCAAGCCTCGTAGATGTTTTTTTTGCGTTTTCCAATGTTGCGATCAGCTTTCCTCTACTATCGACAGAAACCATTTCAGACTTGTCGTCTTGGCTATAAGTAGGCAAGCCAAACATGGCATTTGGCACCTCTTCCAGAGACAGTTTGTTGCCTTAGAGATCAAATTTCTCCAACATTTCATAGGCATTCAAATTACAGTTTTTAGCTGAAATCAGACTATTGGAGGATCTCAATTCATACCGATCAAATACTTCCTTCGGCACTTTCGTATCGACACATATTGTCCACGGACCCTGCTCATGAACATCACCAGCTAATTGCACTCACAGCGAGACTTTTCCTCAAATAAGAGACCGTGCCGGAGGAAACAACAGCTTAAAAATCTTGAAGAGCATATTGAAATAGGAACGAAAAAATTGAAGGCGAGAATCGCGCTATGGTTTTCATGACGTCAGTAAGCCGATTCACTCTTTCAACTACCTTTCTAATCGGTGAAAAAAATTGTTCCAAAACAGATGGTGTGCCTTGTGCTTGCATAACCACGACTAGTTCGTAAAATGCTTAAGTTAAGTAAAATGCTAGGTTCAGCGGGTGCATTCTACAATGTTTTCAGGTGGTTGACGCTTTCTTGACGCGACCTGTCTAGGCTGTAACGTATGCAGTGTGAAACGGTTTCATAGTCGCCACAGCACAATGCACACGTGGCAAGTGATGCAAACACACGCTAACACGTGGAACGCCTGCAAACAGAATCAAGAGGATAAGTCTCGCTCAGTGCGTGTAGGTGAGTGAAATGAACGATTAGTCACAGGCCCGGATACACGCATGCGCGCACACGCAAGGATAAAAGGCTGCGTGGATTGATCACGCACACATACACACTCAAAGCCCGCGTCTCAACGTCCTTCAGCTGCCTTTTTAACAAAATGCATAGTCGACGACCTGCCAAAACATCGACTGCGTTTAACTAGGTCTCGATTTTCTTATTAGCAAATACATCGGTGTCTTTGTATGTTAAGTGACAGCTACACTGATGGTGGAAAACAAAGCGCGGGCAAAAGCAATTAAAAGATGCGAAAACACGAAGGAGAGCGTCTAGTGGGAATGATTTAGTTACGTCCTTGACCAAATGCAGCAACTAAAATTCTGATGTATGAACGAGAGACTCAACTCGAGCACGAGGCGAAGTTTGGTGGGCAGATAAAAGACTGATGCTCCATAACTGGAGACAGTTTGCCACAATCAAAAAATGGTAACGAGAGATGTTGGAAACTAAAAACTGAAGCAACCAGATATTACACTAAAGTGTTTCAATTATCGGGCCTGCACTGTACACAAACGACGTACTTAGAATCGAGCATACATGAAATTACAAGTCGACCAATCAGGCGTCACGCGACTAGAAGGGTGTCGTTGGGCCTCGGAGCCAGTCGTAAGTATTGTTTTAAAACTAGGCTGACGTGTTCCAAGTTCAGAGTCTGCCCCATAAAGCCTCTAACGCCAGCAATGAAGAGACCTGGATGGCTCCTATTTCACCAATTGTGATAAGGCCAAGTATACAAACAGTAAGGCTTGAAAAAAAAACAACTCGGGAGGGATGAACGAGTACGGTCTTTACCTTTGTGGTGAGCTCGCGCATAGTCTGGATGAGGAAGGGCATGGCCATATCAGTCAGGCCGTTTCGCCATGCCAGTTCAAGAACAACATCGGGTCGCAGGAGGTCGTAGCACTGATAAAGACAGGCAGCAAAACAATCTGGGAGGTTTTCAGAGAGGAACCAACGCAGCAGGTCTTCTGCCGTCTCGGGATCTCGGGAGTCGGCTGCGTACTGCATCGCGTCCTACAAGGCAACAGGGCCAGCACTTGAGGTCCATAATGGATGTCCAATTTGGTCACTACCACACTTTCACGTAGCAAAAAAGGCTCTGAATTTGTGCACTTCATGGCGATCCGTAACGCAGTAAATGAGCAAGAGATGGCAAAAAAGATAAATAGATACACGAAAGTGGCAGTCCACGTAAATCAGTAGGAATGAATTACCCGATAGAGCTTGTCGCGCTTACAAAGCTCAATGCTTTGTACCCACCGGTTGTTACCCTTGTAGAGGAGGGCGGAAAGTCGACGGAATTCAGTCAGTTCGTGCTTTTCTAGCACTTGAGCGAGGGCGATGTTGTCGAAATTAGAGTGGGCTTCGATGGATTGTCGGAGAGCCTTCACAAAAGCAAGAGAAACGCAACACGTGTGATTACCAACTGCGAACGGAGTGTACAAAAGGCCATTTGGAGATTATCCTCTGCTGCCAATCTAATTGAGCATTAAATGGAGGCGAATCCGACTAAGACTCGACGTGGGTCGCCTACACCTCGAAATGCTACAGTTTCTCGTTACAAACTATTTAATATTAGACGATTGTGTGGTGGGTGGAAGGGCCCTCTGTAACTCGAAAATGTTTAGATTTAAGTCGAAACGAGCTTATCATCACCTTTACTAACCATAAAATTATGAAGAACCCACCATACCTGATAATCCTCCTCTTCGATAAGCAAGCTGTTTAAGGCCTCGTTGACGGCTTTGATGTTCGCGCCACTCTGCTGGACGACACAAAGGTAGGGCTTCACGAAAGGAATGTGGCCGACTTTGGTGAAGAAGGCAACTGTGCGAGTGTGATCCAATCGGGGGATCAAGACAGTAAGGAGGTCATTTAACAGTAGGGGTTTATATGTTAGGTAGAACTGAATGGCTTTGTAGTAGAGCTCGAGGTTGGCCACCTTTGTGATCATATCTTTGAAATGGTTCTCACGCCACGCCTCGGTCGGGTGGGCCATCATAGTTTGTACAGCATTGTCATATTCTTCGTAGCGATCGTAGAGGAAGACCAGTTCGGCCCAGAGATGGGCTTGTTCTGCAGCTCGTAGAACCTTAATAATGACAAAGCGAAAGCAAATAAGGGGTAAGGAGAAGGTGTGTCCTTAACAAAGCCTCAAACCAATTTTCAAAAGCAAGGTAACCACAGAAGGTGAAAAGAAATGGAAGTTCTACGAAAGGGGAATAAGTAGGGTGTAATTGTTGCTTTAATGTATTTCAGAAGATCTACACAGAGTAATTTGATTAGGTGTTTGAGGCTGAACAAAGGATGATTCACAAAACGTAAAATGGTTACAAAGGGTGGATAGGTGATACTAGGTACGGAGGGACGGCTCTCATGGCACCAAATTTATAAGGAAATATAAGTGCCCCAGAACCTGAAACTGTTTGATAAGTGGATATAACGAACCTGATTTTATATTCAGGTAATTTGAACATTGCAAATCATTAAAACAAATATTTCCTATTGCTGGTGCAAAAACGAAGACCACTATAAAAGGGAGCATTCGTCTTGCGCTGAAGGCAAGAAACGAAAAGGCAAGGTCATAATGATGGTTTAGCAATACTTTTATGAACAATAAGCATGCGTGCATGGCCAAGGTGAATAGGATAAGAATCGGGTAAGATATTTCATAAAATCGGCTTCTAAATGAAGCCTAAGTGAAAAAACTTACAGTTGGCAACATGATAGTAACCAGAGAGTACTAAGCAGAATAAAGTTGTGATGATATATGACGCTTTAACATGTTTCTAGGAGTTCTAACCTTTGGAATATTAACACGAGACCAGAAGAGTTCCAGGTGTTCCCGCAGCTTTTCCTGTTTGAATTTGGAGTAAAGAATGGCCAGTTCAGTAAACATGCCCATATGAGCTCGTTCAAGACCAAGGGCAGCCTCAAGGAGACTAATAAGCTGCTGGAAGTATCCCCGCTGCTGGTAGTAGTTGATAAGTTCCTCCAGTTCGTCAGCGTGGACAACTATGTGGAGACCACACATCTGCGCGAGACGGAATTCCCCGTGGTCCACACAGGCGAAGCAGACTTCCTTCCAGGTGCGGGTAGAGTTGGCTTTCCTAGCGGCCTCAACAGCCCCCTGATACTCACCCAAGTGAACTAGAGCAATGGCCAGACGAGAGTAGTTGCTCACGTTGTTGTACAACAGCTTGGCAGCCTCAAACATCTGCTCCTCGAAACACCTGTCTGCAACCTGGGGAAAGGGAGTGCAATTAGCAAGGACGAGACGCACTAATTGTCAACACCCAGATAGAAACCCTCCTATACATAATTTATCGGCTTATCAAACGACCATAGACGAATGTGACATGCTAGTTACGACAGCAAGCTACAAAATTTAACAATTCAATCCTTCGTAGAGCGGGGAATAACTTAAAAATCAGGGGCAGCACATTAGACTGCCATAGAATTCACACATCAAAGGTCAAAAAAGAGCTCTTGAAGGATGAAAGCCAAATCAGACATTACATAGGAACAAGATGCTCTGCAAAACTCACAGATGTAATATTGGCGTGATTAGGTCCTGCTATGAACTCCTCCAAATCCGACAAACGCCCGGTCTTAGCGAAGGCAAAGACCAGCTCCGAGTCAATGGTCGTCTCACGAGCCTTCTTTCTTGCCATCTGGAGGTATCGGACGAGATCTTCGTAGTTGTTGGCAGCTGATGCAGCTCGAATAACCTCATCGTAATTGGCTGGGTCTCCGGCCTTGATGTAGGAGTCGATGGACTCCTTGATTACACCCTCTGCGAGTTGGGCCTTGGCCAGAAGGCTCCAGACAACAGGCTCGTCGCAGCGCTCAGCATACTCGTACGCACGGTCGAGATTTTGAATGTTATCAATAAGTACCTAACAGCGGCAAAGTATACGGTCAAAACTCAAATCCTTTCTAGTGCCGGAAATCAGGGATGCATCGGATACTGCCTATTTACTAAAAACTTGACCGATTTCCCCTGTGAGGGCATAATAACTTGGCGTAATCACGAGAATTGGAAGCGAAAATCTAAGCAGGATTTAATAGGTTAGGGTGAAGACAGTGCTTTGAAATAGTGAAAGTAGAAGCTCATTAGTGTAGACTAAATACGCATTCTGAAACGAAATTGTTGAGTTTAATACCTACATATATGCTTAACAGAGCAAACGCAAATCAACTACAAAATGTGACGACATTCTAATAGGCGAATTCGGCGATGCATTGTGAAACATTGAGTGGACAGTTAGAATGACACAACTGTGGTACAGACTTATTCAGAATCAAGGGTTGTGGAGGAGAACTACAACGTCGGTTTACCGCCCACGCATAGATCAGATTTAAGATTTCGACTTTGACCAGAAGAAAGCGTGGCAAGGGGGTGATTTAATATTTTAAATAAATTATACCTGCATAGCCAAGTTGTTGACCTCGAACTTTTTGAAAATGGCAAAGGCCTCTTCATAGAGTCCATTCGTGATAGCAATATTGGCAACGTCAGGTGCATCGTAATTATCCAACTTCGTGATATATTCCATTACCCGACTGTGATCAGCCTTGATAGCTGTTAGAATGAGCAGATTCTGCAAATTTCGGTGATCCGAGAACACCGAATTGTCCATTACAATTTTCTCGAGCAATTCGATTAATTCGTTGGGCATATCCGCAGCCATGAAAGCCTTAACAGCAACAGAAATCTCTTTCGGGTCCTGGGTCTCTGAGAGAGCCGTTTGGACCACCTGGTCGATCAACTGACGTCGGAAAGCATTGGATTCACTTAGACACTCTGCCCACAACTCTGGATCCATCCTACGCACAAGGTAGCGAGCCTCCGTCTTGAAGAGGGAATTTTCATTGCACACAGCAACTAGTTCCTTGTCACAAAGACCCCGCTCGTAGGCCACACAAGCAAGATGGGGGTCGCGCTTCTCACAATACTTGCCCACCACGGAGCTATCGTAGTATTGATTTTCTCGGAGAAAGCGCTCAGGGTTGTTGTTAGCGTCGATGTAGATTTTAGCAAGGGCGTTGTGAGTTGCCGGTTCCACGGAGCCCTCGTGAATGCGGGACTCGAGCCAAGGAAGAAGGAGCTTCAAGCGATTGCGCTTTTCAACCTCAGCCACTAGTTCATCGGTACTGAATTGCCCTAAAATTGAAAACATTCCACGTAGAGGCTTATAAATGCTCGCTCGGTTGACTTGGAAATTTCGTCGCGCTATTCAGTTCAAAGGTTCGACACGGTTGAAGAAAGCAATCATTTGAAATTGTGTGGAATCAAGAATTACATCAAGAAAACATTTAAACATGCAAATATACGGTCATTTGAGAAAACTCTTCAAAGCATTTCACTGAAAATTTCAGAAGATATTGTATAGAACCGATGAATCCATGAAGCTTCTGAAGATAAGCTAACATCGATGGTCGATGCTCACTTATTCGTAATTAAAACCGACCAAGCGACTGACAGCGTATTAAAATGCCCGGTTTAGGAAAGAATTAACGCCAGTTTCATGTTTGTTGGAAAGCGTTCACTTTGCAAAAGAGGTGATCCCGCCAAACTTTTCGGATGGAAAGATTTTAATGATAAGCAAAAAAGGTATGCGCACTAAAGTATTTTATGGCTAATGGTCTGAATAGCCAGATGTTACAAAATAATAGAGGTACATGCAATGAGGATTCCTGAATGTTAGTCATTTGATCACCAATGAAAGTTAAATACACTTTATATCAAATTGCAGTCAACAATACTTTTTTTTCAATTACAAGTTAACTGAAAAGGGGAATTAATCACTGTTGCAGACTCTTCTTATTGGCATACATGGTCAGGAATAACCTTACAGCAGACGTTATCAGCTCACACCATTTAGCCGAGTGAAAAATCACAACTTTTTGAAGCAATGTGAAGCCTTTTTACTATTTGAAACGATTCTCGATTCCATGGCAGACGATAAAAAGTAACCATGCCAAAATATGCGAATGAATAACTTCTAACGTTTCACAGGGCCCCGAAAATATTAGTAGTATTGATTGCAAACAAAACCACAACTGCTAATTGATAGGTATGCGATGAAGAATCTAATACGCATTAGACACTTACACAAGGCCCAATTGTGAAAAAACCGAAAAAAACGCACCTCGGACGACAGCTATTAATTGCTTGATGACGTCATCAGCACAGTCAACGTCCAACAACCCACCAACCACTGCAGGCAAGCGGCCAGGATTGACTTTCTGCACGTAGATCTCAATATACTTTTGAAGGTTGTTGCGATATAAGTAAAGAACGAGATCGTGGACAAAATCGTAGCGATCGCAAACAATGATTAAGGGCAACTGGTCAGTGAGTTTTGCTTCCTGGAACATAAAAGCAACAGTGAATAAGAGTTAAAATAAACAACAGCAGTGGCAAAGTCTTACCTTCAGGAAATTTTTAACACGTTCAGCGTCGTAGCAAGTACTTTCACGACAAATTCGTTCAACTTCCTTAACTTGCCCAGTCTTGCAGGCGGCTTGAATGTACTTGAAATGGACCTCGGGATCCTGAGAGAAATTTACGATGGAACCAAGAAAGTAAAAAAGCCCCTCAAACGATTTGAAGGATTCGAATATCTCGATGAGAGCATTTGTTCCAAGTTGCTCGTGATACTTAGTTGCAATCTGCACGCAAACCTGTAAATTTTGGCGAATATTGGCATGTAGCATCGCCTTAAGGCATTCCAGGGAGTCATCGACCGAGAGAGATCCAAAATACTTCACTAACCACTAAACAGGAAGATATAAAGCCGCTAGGAAGAACAGAAACGCATTTTAAAAAAAATTAGAGGTCTGCTAGCCTACCTCTGGACTCAAAAGATGAGTGTTAACAACAGCTCGCTTAATGTCATAGAGATCGGTGTAATGTTCGAGGGCGCGCTGGAGCAGACCCGCCTTTTCACACAATTGAGCGATGGTCGCACGATCGTAGTGAGTGAACATCTGGTTGCCGAGAATAGCATCAGCAACTTGAGGGGCCGACATCAGATTCATTTCGAGGAGACGGGTCTGTAGATGGCCTTCCGAGGGCCGATTGTGCTTCAGTGCATCGAGAAGGAAGGAAGTGCATTGCTGGACCAATCCCTGTTCCATGAAAACATCCACTACTTGTTCGAGGTCGACGAGGGGTTCCTGGTCCTGAACCAGCATCTGGGCGAATTGGAGACCCTGATCAGAGTTAATGCGCGTTAGGTTGCGCAATAAAGAGATGTACTCCGGAGAATAATTGACCTTCTTTGAGTAGAGAATGATCTTTTGAAATTGCCCAGTTTCCGCAAAGCACTGAACAACTTTCGGCGGTACATTTGCACGCAAGTAGACCGATAAAGCGAGAGTAGGATCAGCCTGCAATGTGTGGCACATACTTGTCAAATGTACCAGACAACAAATCAACAAAGTGACATGCTAAATTACTAACTACCTGCTTGACAAGATCGCCAAGTTCCTCCGAGCATTCGAGTTTATCTTCCTTGAGCCACTTTTCTATGAGATGCTTGCGGCCTTGCTGTAGGACCGGTCGACAAAGTTCCAGGCTCTCATATTTATTTAATTGTCCTTGATCAATTAAAATACCGAAATAGAGGAAGAGAGGGGATGTTTGACCCGCCGTGTTCGGTACCTGCGATTAAAAAACTGCGTAAAATACAAGCAAACCGGCAGGCAGAAAGCAGGATCACCGAAACAACAAACCTGGTGAAACTTTTGAATCGTCTGTGGTGTCCGCAAAATACCATTTGGAGCGCTGGCCGCAACCTTCGCGGCGTCATTATATTGTCCAGCTTGAAACAGGGAGTCGAATTTCTTAACGAAAAGATCTTCTGCACCTGGCAGATTACATCTTGCAGCCATTCGAAGGGCAAGTGACGGGTTATTCAAGGCTCCCTTTATGTAGTTGACAACGTTTTCTTCGTCTATGCTTACAGAAAGTACCTAAAAGCTGTGATCTTGAAAAAAACAAGCATACTTGTCCTTTGCGGTTAACACCCATTATTCCAGACGTTGCCTCATATGGAACAGTCACGAAGATGGTTTCGCTGCTGACCCGGTTCATGTAAATACATGTACCCGATTCAATGTCGTAAATATGCAAGTATCCATTTTTTGTAATCAGAAAGACCACAGCATATTTTTGAGAAGCCTTAATGAGAATGATGTTAATAATTCCTAAGCACAAACCTGCATAGCTACCGGAAAGTCATTGGGTGCTTCAGGCGGAAAGTAAACATCAAGGTTCTTTTTTGTGAACGGTTGATTTCCTTCAGGTGGCTGACCGACTTCAATGATGTGGAGGTTGCACGACTGAGCAGTCCTGACAGCAAAACAGAAGAGGGTTGTTGGGTTCGGTTGACCGTCACCTTTGTATTGAACAAAGGCGGCAGCGTGACCCTCGATAGGTTGGCTAACCTTACGATCTACGCTGTAGAGTTGCATCGAGCCAACAACACGATTTTCTTGGACAGAAATGCCGATTAAAAGTAACCATTTGCAACTTTCGTCTGTCCTATAGTTGATTATTTGCGTGTTAGCCAAAGAAGAATGTCGATCAAACATTTTTACAGGCGTAGAATTATCTGGAGGCAAAATAAATTGGACTGCTGTGTGGCATACCTTCAATAGACCAATGGTAAACAGAAGTAGCAGTCACTAGGGCGATTGTGTTGACACTAATCCATTTCCAAAATATGACGGGATCCGGCATTTTGTGCATGTTCATTTTTGTTTTTAGTTCAATATTGAAAATTTGAAGAACATTTCCAGACTTTAACGCCATCACCTTGCTGACAGGATTCATGATAATAGAATCCGCTGTAATAGGTCGCCTTGTCGGATTATTGGGTTCATTCATGTCGATGACAACTACGTACTGACTGTCACCGGTTTTTTCGCGAACGCAAATGAATTTGTCCGATTCCATTGTAAGTGTATTAAATCCAATACTAGCCGTTTGAATGCCAACATTCACAAGCTACCAAAGTGCGCATATATCAGATTATTGTTTAACCACGATAAAAAAAATCAAAACTACATGCACTTACCTGCAAATGCTCCTGAAGCTTAATAGGCATAGACGAAGCCATCCCGAATAAGATACGCAAGTCCTTGATGGAAGAGAAATCGAAAGGAAAGTAAAGAGGCGGACTTCACAGTTTTCAGAGGCATCAGTCTCAATAATCAATCAAGGAAGAATAACGAAAATATGTCCTAATTAAAATAGACCAAAAACATATTTGGATTAACAAGATTAAACTGCGATTTTCCTGACGACATCAAGCTTTATTTACCCCAACAACAATGATCAACATATTACCAGTAGACGCAAAAGTCAGTTTCTGTATTTCTGTTAATAATAATTTTTTGTTTTGTTTAAGCGCACAGGGGCAATCTATTATATAAATTGGAGCTTTTTATGATCGAAACAACACTAGGGAGGTATTGAAACGTTATTATTTGTGTCCATTAAGCCGGCCATCGCATTCGGTGCCACTCCAACTTCATTTTTACTTTGTCTCTATTGATATTGCTGCACCATCTGTTCATACATTTCTGGTCGGGCACATCCCTCCCGCTATCCATTTAATTATTTTTATTGTTCAGTAATCTGTACTTTTGCATTTTCACACAGACTGTATTGATTACCAAATACAGTTAGTTAGATATTTTATATTTTGTACAGTTTGACTAGCACCATCAACTTAGGCTGTTTAGTAGTTTTTTTCATTTTTGCTATCTGAGGTCCCCTGCAGTATAAACAATTAAAATCGTCTCAGAGACACAGAGTTAAATGCCTGTGCATACAACTATCGCAGGTGGCTAAACAAGTAGTTCCCGTAAATTGGTAAACGCAGCCAAGGTAACAGGCCTGTCATCTGCAACAAATACGCATTTTTCTCGTCCTTTGCAAGTCTCATCTTTTTAGACTAGGACAAGATACGAACACTGTATCCACATTCTTAGTCACAATTTCTATGTCGAACTCATATCCGGGTTCGTGATTAACACCAAATGGTATACCATTAAGATGAACTTTGATGGTGACTGCAGACACGTTAACGAAACTGAGTAAAAAGAAAACGAATAAATTAATCTCAGAGAATGTTTAAATTACCAATAATTCAGAAGGGCGATTTAAGCCCATTTAATTAAGAAACAGTGCAAGTCAGCTTCAAATTTCTGTCTGATTATTTGAAAGACGACTCATTTTAATTCATTAAAATTTAGCACATGTAGGGTCGACCTAAACGATTGCCTTGATTTTTCTAAATTTATACAGTTAGCAGGTGTATCTGACGTTATTAAGGATAGTAGTCATTTAAAAAAATGGCCAAGGGACTATAATGATACAAAAGTACATAGAAAAATTATTTCTCAGGACCAACGCTTTTTTGATTCATAAGTCCAATGAAACAAATAAAAATAGTGTCGTTTTTCGGAAAACACAATTAACAGGGGATAATATGAATATTTGATTTTTTAAATATTAGTATTATGAATTTTATCCCTAGGAAGGTAATTGACATTTTGCAGATGCCTAGCCCTCAAATTCTTTTGTGCACACTGTCCAATTTCCGAATTAACATATATTATTTGTACTCTGTGTAAGCACTGATACGCATAACTAAGTTGATCTCCATTCTCAATCAAATTCATCGAACCCGGATTGAATAAAAGACGATTACAAACAGTAAAATGTAATGAGTGTAAAGTATTGCAGTGAAACAATATTTGTATGCAGTATAAATGTTATGTAATGAAAAAATTAAACAAAACTTTTAATATGGGAAGCGTTGGGCCTTCTTTTAAGGTACCAACCACGAAGAAGTTTAAATGGGCAGATTACCATTAATATATTCCTAAAGGATAGATATATTATCATGGTTAATTAAAATTGTGTGACCAAAATTTAGAAATAAAAGATACATTATGCGTTGCAGACACTTAAAGAGGGTTAATTGAGCAAGAGCGTAGTAAAAGAATCATTGGATAAACAGTAAGAATAAATTCAATAGGATGCACAAGTTAACCCACATACACGTAAGAGTGGCTAGGTGAGGTGAAAGTTGGAAGAATAAGGGAGGACAAAGAAAATATTCAGCTGGTGTGCGTTGACGGAATAAGCGAAAAAAAGGGATAAAACTTTTTTTGAGGAAAACTATCATCGGTAAAAACAAGAAACCTTGCTTATAGCCTAAAAGGTGGATAAAAAATTCCGATTTGACCTTCCTTCTTTGAGTGTACGGATCGTCTATCCAGGCTAATACAAAATTGACGTTAATTCGAAAGTGTTACGATGGTTGTAGTCACACCTCAAAATTTAACTCAGTAGAATTTATAGTTTAAAAAGATCAAGGTGTTTTGATGATGCTAGTAAATTTTATTCTAGAATTTTTTATAGATTATCGCAAAATGTGCTGATCGAATATGATTGGATTAACGAATAAATTGCAATAATTTAAACAATTAAATTTTCATATTCAAGTGATTTTTGTCCTGATTCATTAGCGGGTATGCATGACGCTAATCTCAAGATTTACATAAGACGCAAAAGACGAATTAATTTTTGAAGTCATGAGGAACAGTTTGATTTGAAAGGAAGGTATCACGTTCAGGTATTTTTTTAAGCTGATGGAAACTAGTTAAATGCCTTTCAAAAGTCTTTTAGACATATTGTATATTAATTCTAAGATAGTATCATAGATTTCAAAGTATATAGGTCGCCAAAGAAAATTTGCTATTCCTTTGGTTAATCAGCGGATTTGTATTAATATGCTACCCAACATTGAAGAGCTTTGAATCTACCCATTAACCAATCAGAGATTTAAGCTTGCACGTGTTCGTGTTTGGAATTGTAACACGTATTTTCTCGTTTGTGGTAAGGCTGTCGTCGACTGAATTTAGGTAAAAATATTCAAACTAGGCAGTAAATTTAAATCCGATTTGTTCTATATTATGGTTTATGTTAAAATTGTTGTATTGGATAAATTCATTTTCCCCTTACTATTGACATTTATCTCATGGTTACTGAATTCATATAATTTTTTTTCAATTTTTTGATGTTGCACAAACACTGGAGTATACTGCCACCGTAAAATGGGACATGTTATTGGTATCACGGAAGGATTTTCAATACTAATATCACTTTTTTGCTGATCACCGTGGACTTATAACAGGTTTTTGGCAAATTGTATACTAGGTCGCTCGAATGAAATGCGCTTTGGACCGACTGCCTATAAACCACATTTTGTGAATTTTTATCATCCTTGTAATATAGTATTTGCGGTAGATTAACATTTGTAGCTCTCAGGGCGACTTTGATTTGCCTAGTTCGTTTTTTTTGTGGTGTTACGTGAAAATTATGTTGAATAAACTTAACATTGCTTAAAATTAGAAAAGAAATTTGCATTTGCATTTTAACCTTATCAGAGTACAAATTAAGCTTATTTTTTTGGAAGATGAAGGAAGTGGCGTTTATAACTTCTTAGTCTTTCATTCAAAGGCTTTTTACTTTGTTGAATTCATGGGAATGAGTCTTTTCTTTTGCAGAATGTCATCGTCTGAGGATTCTGTTATCTCTGACATTGATGTCAACGAAGCGCGCCAGCTTGTTTTAAAGGCAAATAGAAAAAACAAAAAGCGGGCCGGCGGATTCCAGGCCATGGGTCTCAGTCAACCGGTTTTCAATGGTATTGCCCGAAGGGGGTATAGAGCGCCAACTCCCATCCAAAGAAAGGCCATTCCTGTCATCCTCTCCGGACGGGATGTGGTTGCAATGGCTAGAACCGGGAGCGGAAAGACTGCAGCCTTCCTGATACCATTGTTGGAAAGACTAAAACAACACCAGGACACTGGCGCTCGGGCTCTCCTTTTAAGCCCCACCCGTGAGCTTGCCATGCAGACTCTTGCATTTACAAAGGATGTTAGTACCTTTGCTGTTAATTCTTTTTAATGTACTTCATGGTGTCTAATTGAAAAAACTGCGGGTGCGGCTACATTAACTCCTTTAATTCTTGCATTCATTTGATGAAATCACGTGGATGCATAACATATTGTGCGAAGTGGAAATTTTTACTTAGCGTCGTGTTATGTCCATCAAACTGTTTAATTTTATGCCGTTTGCTACAGTGTTGTTCAGTGTTTCTACTTGACGACACAACTGCAATTTTGTGTTTCACGAGACCCCCATTCAACGTTAGCAAAGTATGAGTGCCATTAATTTGTACAATTGCTGCCTCTTTTCATCCCTCTAATAATACATTATTACGCTAGATTAACTGTTCTCTTGGTGGGCTGTCCCAGATATCTTTAAGCACTGCCAAATAACCAAGCTGCAAGTCATTTTCTTCTTAAGCAAGCAGTGGGATGAACCAAAGCTTTAAAAGCCTGAAATACTGTCGACGAAAATACTGGGACTAATTTATGGTGTACCGCCTTCTTTTGGTTGCGTTTCTGAACCACGCAACACACCCGTCAACTTTCTTTTCGTTAAAAGCATTCCTTGCTTAAATTGGTGGTATCTGGCAAATTGACGTTCATTTAGTTAGATATTAACGTTAAAAACCGCGGCGTTACGGTGGGCACAGTTTTAATGACCAGTTACCCTTTCTTCTCAGATTGGTAGATTCACGAACCTCGTTGCTGCAGTCATCGTTGGTGGGGATAAGTATGTGCTGAATTTTTTTAAATGACTTAATGTTTTTCTTAGGATGGATGAGCAATTTATGGCAATTCATCAAAATCCCGACATGTAAGTTGGCTATTCTGCTTTTGTAACTCGGCTGATTTTTCGTAGAATAATCGCTACACCTGGTCGCTTACTTCACGTCATAATGGAGATGAATCTGACGCTCAAATCCGTTGAATACGTCGTGTTTGATGAAGGCGACAGGTATGTAGAATTGTTTACGAAAATCCCCTTGACTGATTTGTAATAAGAAAATTTTGCATTTTCTCTAGACTTCTTGAGTTGGGTTTCGCCGATCAGCTAACAGAAACTCTGCATAGATTGCCGCTTAAGCGCCAAACCCTGATATTTTCAGCCACACTTCCCGGAGCCCTGTTGGAATTCGCACGGGCTGGTCTCTCCGAGCCCGCACTAATCCGCTTGGATGTTGACACCAAGCTGAGCAATCGACTAAAATTGGCCTTTATATCGTGTTTGCCATTCGAAAAGGAGGCGCTCCTTATTTATCTTCTTCAGAATATTATTCCACGAAAGGAGAGGGTCATAATCTTTTTGGCAACAAAACACCACGTCGACTACTTGGAATTGGTAAGTATAGTTTCTCCTTTATGCAATCCTATCGTGTTAAACAATTTGTTCTCCCTTGCTCTCTGCATTTTTTTCACTGAGACCAGATGTGAAGTATATTGCACTTGACCAAGTCAGCATTGGCTTTAGAACCGTGCGCCTATCCGCTATTTGCTCCCCAATTATGTGGACTCAAGTTGAGTATTCTTAAACCGCACAACCGAAACGCACGTGCTTTTTTCTTGTTGTTAGCTTTTAAAGGAGTTTCATATCGACTGTACCGTGGTTCACTCCGGTTTGGATCCGGTGGCACGCAATATGGCTGTGCGAAATTTTCGCCACGGTCGCGTGAGGTGCCTTTTGGTCACCGACCTCGCGGCCCGCGGCATCGACTTGCCCCTCCTCGACACTGCCATCAACTTCCACTTTCCTGCACAGGCAAAGCTATTTGTCCATCGTGTTGGTATGCTATTACTGCTTTGATTGTTGACGATTTAATACGCCTAATTAATTAATTGGGATAAAACGACTCACTTCACTGATTTGATGAAACTATGGTATTTACACCGTGCCAATCCACCCGAATGAAAATGTGCAATCAGTCCTGAAGTCCTTGTACTGTCATCAGCAATGTGGGAAATGCTCAAATGTTTGCACACGTCTCAGGCCAGTTGTGTGAACAATTTTGTACGCTTAATTGGCGTTAGCACTTCTTAAGGGCGCACTTTCCACTAAGGTGTTAGTAATGCTGGCGTTGACAACGAAGATGATTGGCGAACCTTGATTTAAGTTTCGAAAAACGATATATTTCTCAACACACTATATTTGAATTTCTTGTCCAGTGCTGAGATTTTCGTAGGAGCGTTTTTGTTGGATTTAGGTAGAAATTGTTTGCGTATTTTTAGGTGGAATCAGTTATTAGTAATCTGTTACTCATGTTAAAATCCAAAACCACCAAATACTTGGCTGGGTCTTTCGGAACACCGTATAACCTTGATGACATTTAAACATGACCACTCACTTAAGGAATCAGTTTTCGACCGATTACATGATCCGGGCTTAGAGTTGCCTTTGTTAAACCCAACCCAGGTCGAGTTGCCCGCGCAGGCCGTTCAGGAATGGCCATTTCTTTGGTCGACTCTGAGGAGCTGCCGTACCTGATGGATTTGTATGTCTTCCTGGGCGGCCATGTCGTCACCAATCATCACCAGACGGCGGCGTCAGAGCATCCGGAGTCTGAAGAAAGTTGGCCGAACGAATTGCTAGGTTCCTGCCCTCGGGATCTCATTGCTGTAGACTTGGAGAACGTGGCAAAGAAGGAAAAGGAAAACGCCGTGCTTGTGAGCTGCCGTGATTCTTGGCATTCCAAATACCAGCACCGTAACCTCTACTATATAATAGCATAACACCAAGTATATTGTTCTATCTCCTTGAAGTATCAACGATGAATATTCCACTGAAAGTTTTGATGTTCGTTTTTCATGAAAAGTTCTAACAAATCTTCAAATAGCCAGAACTTGTGTTAAATGTTACCAGTCGTGTTAAATGAAATACCTGACATCTCACAATGGCCAGTTAATTCAATCAGATGGGGATTTGAATGATGAAAGTGCTTGTTTTCATGCAGGCATCCGCCTCGCAAGTGTGCAAGCGTGCACTTAAAAAGTACACGACAACGCGATTGAAGGCCAGCGCGGAATCGGTGCGTCGTGCAAAGGAGGTGCGCGCCGATCTCCCAACTCTCCGGCCCCATCCGATTTTCGGTAAGTCGCCGCCTCCCTCGAGTTGTCGCCTTGGGGGGTGCACGACCTTCGCTGAAGTCGTGCGTGCGCGGGGCACATGTGGATGTGGATCTGTGGCCCGTTTCGGAAATGCCACAATCCGTCACTGCATTCTCATTCACAATTGCTCCTATCCCTTTGCTGGATTCTTTTTTTCACCAACTAACCTCTAATCGAATGTAGTTGCTTGTGATTTGCCATCTAGACTGTGGTGGTCCTTGCTACAATGCTAGCGAATGCAGGCCATTTAGTTATTGATGCTGGTGGAAACGTAAACTGCCTTCTAGTAATTATCAGCCATGTTTAACTTTCTGACTTGGTTTCATGTTACTGATGTAGCTGCCACGAAGATGGGGGTCTTGGTCAAATGGCTGCATAACCTCAGCGTAAATTATGTAGTGCAATAAAATCCCCTTTCTGAGTTAATGATTTCCATCAGGGTTAATTTCTTGCTCATAAATTTGTATTTCACCACGTTACTTTCGCACAGCTGAATTCTCGCTTCCATGCTGCATCTAGTTCACTAAACATTTGTTGTATTCCGGGCTTGAGGTACCATTGTTGGCGCTTTTGCCAATCTCAAGCATTATTGAATGCTGTCAGCTGGCCAATTGGCGGTTCAAATTTTAGTATTTCTCTGTCGTTTTACACATTTAAAGGTCTCGTCTTAGAATATGCCTCCTTTCGGTCGTTGTTTTTGGATTTTGGCACTCAAATATTCGCTATTTGTTATCACTGTAGCCCCTCAGTTGACCAACTTCGATACTCAGAAGGAGGCAGTCCTGGAAATCCTACGAAATCGCAAAGTACCGGTGAGTTGACTTCACGGGGTGTTCGGCTTAGGCGTTGATGCGACGGCTTGGTTGGGAATCCTTGGCAGGTCACTGATCAAGACGCTCGGTTCCTTAGCAAAGTTCACTAAACCATCTTATTCCTAATAAGCGGTTATTTCTCATTCTGTAAATTATTTTCCAAGTTCCTTCTTCATACACGCTGTCCAGGCTGCACGCATTTTCAGTATTTGGCGATTGCGCAAGTTCTTTTTTTCTCGGAATTTGCATTTGCACGTCTCTCATCTAACATTAAGAAGTCTACAAAAACGCATATTTCATGTTTGTTTCTAAAAGGCTTGACACAGTCTGAAGTAAAAGAACGCTAGCCGCCTTGCAGAATGTCACGCTCAATGTTTTGCAACCCACCGTCTTTAAATTGGGAAGCGCATTTTGACAGTTTGTTAACTTTTTTATTGACTACAAGGGTGAGGGTGGTTGCCCTTTGGCTAAGAAGCTGAAAGGATGAGGTTCCACTTTCAGCAGTCGTTGTCCTCCCCCTCTCCACCAAAAAAATCATGAACAGTACTTTTTGGTTAAGTGAGAAGTAGTACCCTTCCCACATGCCTTTATCGGTAATTTGGCATAATTGCTGAAGTAGACGATCCAGTTGTTTTAAAGTCTTTACAACAACATTTGGCAGACAATTTTTGAGGCTCTGGGCAAGACTTCCAATCCAGAGGCCTATCAAATGATGCAAAAGAAGCGGAAACTGCACGACAAAATCATCTCCAAGGTAGCCGCTGAAAGCGAGGCGAAGAGAGCAAGACTTATAATTGAGGAGAGCGAGAGGCTGGCGAGCGCGCGAGAATCTCCCAGCAAGTCGAAAGGATCGACGCAGTCCATCACCGAGGTTCGTTTCGAGCTTACTACTAATTTTACTTCTAAAGTAATGCTTACAAGATGAACGTCTCAACTCCCTTATCTTGCATTCATCGCGTCACGCGCTAAATTTCTACCGTGAATAATTGAGCAGCGGGGTGTCACTTTCCTCTAATTGCTATAGACTCACCTTTCATAGTTGTGATTTCAGAAATTCCGATTTTATTGAATAAGAAATAGGAATTTCTAAACCAGTCTTGGTGATCGCTTCTTTTGTACTAGTTATATAAGTAATGGTAGAGTTCGCATTCGTTGAGGACGCCTTTCAACCCCGCGCTGTTATCAAATTATTAAAAAAGCTGACAGCACAAACAGGCTGGATAGGTAAAAACCTCTATTTTTTATCACAACTGAATTCCTACAACAAATCACACACATTAACTTCGTTTGTCGTAATCCTTGTAGTGTAGCTTCTCTTGCGCTTCCGGTCTCACGTGGGTTTTGGACACCACAGTCCAGGCGCTGCTAACTTTTCCCGTTTTTTTTCCAACAGGAAATTGCGCCCGCACGAGGCAGCAGCTTCTTCGTGCCCCTGGTGCGCGAGGACGAGGCGGCGGAGCGCGCCCTGAGCACCAGAATCGCCGCCCACGATGTCAGCGCCGACAGCTTTGCTCGCTCAGCCGAGGCCGCTCGTTTAGACGTCCAGGGTGACGAAGTCGGCATTTCCTATGGGTAAGAGCTCATCTCACAACTAGTCTTGTCACACGAACCTAGGTTGGTCGGGTCTCCTTAGAAGTTGTAGCAGCTAGTTCTTCAGCGCTACCTCACAACCCTCTAGTTAGCAGTCCGTAACAACCCGAGAATGGCGTGAAGAGAGGCGACAGACGACACGACCGTTTATTGGCGTCACGCCAGCCAAGGGTGTGGATAAGTGAGCGGATGACAGGCATCTGATAGTAGTAATCAATGAAAAGGGGATTAGTCATTGTCACCGTCTGGTCAGTAAACAAGGTTCACGTAGGCGCGATCGCTGTTAATCCGCTACGAAGTCACACCTTACTTTCCTACCCTAAGTGCCGAGGCAACGTTTACTACCATGACTCATGAGACGCCTTCCAATTCTACTTGTCTGCTCTACTAATGTGTAAATAGACTGAGCAACATGCGACAGGCTTCATTGCGTTTTACTCCAACTCCGTTGAGGCTTACGTTGATTTCCGAGTGCAGTTGGACTTTATTTCCGAAATATTATTCATCTGCTTACTTGAATATTAAAACACCTCAACTTGAACATCACAGGCCAATCATGCTTCTGTTGTTAGTGACTATTTAGTAACCTTACGAAGATCTAGGCAGCTTTCTGAAATCCGTTTATCGCGTCATTCTGTGGTGGCGCTGTACCGAGCATAAACCATGCTAATGGAGATCGATTTACCGAAGTATCCACATTCACTTATGTAGTTATGTGGTCCGTTGAGATTTTGATGGTGGTCGGTCGCTTCGAAGTGGACTCACAAAGATTTTTCTTGGCACAAACCACTAAAATTCATCAGAAATCTTTTCATTCAGACGCCCGGCTGGAACAAAAAAATCCCTCCAGGTGTGGGACCGTAAAAAGAAGCGTTTCGTGAATGCTGACGTGGCCGCTGGAAAGGCGAATGTTGCTCGAATCAAAACAGAGAGCGGGGTTTTCATACCCGCGTCATACAAAACTGACAAGTATGTTTCTTGCACTCCTAATACCTTTGAATAATGCCTTCCTCACTGCAAAAGCCATACCATTCTTTTACACATAGGAAATGTTCCAATTCATTAATCAAGTCAGTCTACGGTGTGACCTACTGAGACACACCTAAATATTCATTTTTCTTCCGCAAATTTTCTTTTTGGAAAAATAAGTGCGTACGAGGATATCTGCATTCAAATCCAGACCAAGTCGCTTTGACAACTCCTAAACGCCTCCTTTGCAATTCGCCCAAAGCTATAGTACAACCATAAAGTCCCCCACCTCGCCACCTGTCACACCACACATGAAACCCGCCTGTTAAGTGATAAATTGTGAACTTTGTTGAGGAGTAGATCCGTTTGCAAAGGCACCTCTACACTGACACACCACAGAGGTGAATGCAGGACCTTGGATTTGCCTGAACCGTTCTAGGTACAAGACATGGCTGAATAAAAGCAAGGCCCACATGAGTGCCGACGCGGCCGGCGGTGGTGATACAGGCCCAGGTAAGTCGGCAGAGTCGGCACCGACCAGGCCGAAGGAAAAGTTCACCAGTCTCTTTAATGCGCGCTACGGCAGTGTGGTCGAATTTATGGACAGCGATAACGACGAGGGAGGCGAAGGAAAACTCTACAACCGACGCTCCGGTACTCAGTGGTCGAAAAAGAGCAAAAAGTCTGGCGCCACTAATTTGGAGAGCAGCGGGGGACAAGTGGGACCGATCAGGGAAGGCGGTAGAGGAGTCAAAGTTGTGGGGACAATGTCCCGATGTAAGTCATTCTACTCACAATTTTCCCACTTGTACCCTTTTTAAAGGCTTTGCTTTTGGACAGAAGAACCGCGAGTCTTGAGAGCAAGTGGCAGCTTTTATAATGTTAACTTTTCTAGTGGGACTAGTGGGACTTTTCTAGTGGGACTAGTGCAAATCAGTAACCAGAAAAACTATTGGGCGTGTTATCTAAAATCAAGCTATTGTGCCTTTGTAAATCTTTTTTGATGGTTTTCAGTCCTAATAGGAAGCATCGAGACTACCTGACGGCGATTTATTTAGTTGCTTACAAACATGCTTGTCACTCCTTCGGAATTAGCGCATTCACACACTTTCAAGACAACCGTGGTCAAAGTTACTGGAGTAGCTTGAGACTTACAATACTTCCTGTGTTTTCTATTTCTCTACACAACACTAGCAGTGATCACAACGATTAGAATTTTAGAAATATTGTGTCCAAGACCGCTTTGGATTTGAAATCTGTGTTTTTAGAGTTTGGCAAAAAATCGCTTATACCGACAGGATGTCATTCGTGTGGCTATGTTGAATATTTTATCTACTTTTTCCCCGTCTATATCTTAACCTGTGTATCATCAGTCGAGTCGTTCTAGTGTCAGGCTCGTTTTGACATCATAGTCTCATCTTAGCCGTTTACATGTCTTGGGAAGTGGGGGCCGTACATCTTTGCCCTCTCATCATTGAAACTTAATGTCTACATCGCTTTAAATGATATTTCGTTGGGATCTTCTGCCATGGTTTCTGCTGAATTGAGTAATTGGTTTTTTGACCTTGCAGTTTCCCGGACAGCCCTTAACGCGGCCAAGCGAGAAGCTCTGAAAGAGACTAGGCAGATACGCCAAGCGAAAGGCAGTAGAACCTTTGGTCAAATGCGAAAGCCCGAACAGGTTCTCAAGCAGCGTCGAAGAATGGAGAAGCAGAAACAATTCCGTATAAAGAATAGGTCCAAGAAAGGTGGTAACAGAAGTGGAAAATCCAAGCAAAGGCATCGACGTCAATAAATGCTCTGCAAATAAACTTTTTCAATCAAACTAAAGTCTTAGTATTGTGTCTGGATGGGATTTTTGTCGATTGAAAGAAAGGTCTAAGTGGTCTGGATTGTGGGTGTCCCAAAATTAAGACTTAGAATAGTGATATTCAGACTGAGGTCTTTTGGTTATCTCCAGCTAGGTACATTATTTGACCCACACATATGAAGTAATTTTTCACACGTCCATTGGTTTTATTCTTGTCATTTGCATTTTTGAGGGAATCGTGTGCTTTGGTGATGCTATTAATCCAGTTACACTGAACTTTCACCTGGAGGCACTCCAATTGGATGTCAGCTAAAAAAATTAAATTTATAGAGGTAATTGTTCACTAACAGTGCGAACTATCAAACACTTTGTTAGTTCATTTGGAACTAAACATTCTAAAAAAAGAGATGCAGTTCCTAGACGCGCGACTGCGAAACCAGCGCCGCATTGGCATAGAACGCGTTGTATTTGGGTCAGTTAAAATGTTCGTCTGATAACACTAAGAGCCGCGCGTGAATCAGGCGGTATTAATCGGAAGCAAGGGTAGTTTTCGTATTCATTTATTGGATAAGTCTTAAACGGACTGTTTTCAATGCAGTAATCAGGACGACTTCGGCGACAGAGCTGATTTTTGGATCGAAATGTTGATTATGTACATCTTATGAGATTGAGCTCTAAAGGGGCATAGTTTAAGAAAAGGGAAACTGATGAGCAACTTCATAGCGATTTCATCCGTAATCTCTTCACGCGATTTTCTGATCACAAAGCGCGTATCTGCAAGTTATCGACACCTTCATCATGAAAGCAGGTTAAGGACTTGCTTTATTTATTTTATCAAGATGAGCATACTGTTCGGATCCACGGAAACCTGCAAACAAAATTATTTAACCCTGAGATTTTATGAAACTAAATTTTTTTAGGTAGATGAAGCATCAATTAGAATAAGTCAGGGTGGTGCCTTTCGCGGTAAACGGTTTTGTTTTTACGCAGATATCTTCGATATACCTAGAGACTAATTGCACAATGAAGGTTTATGCTATGGATGAAATGGCGATATCTTCTACGAGTGGAAGCTTAGTTTAGCACTTCAATGAAAAAAATTGTCAGCATTGCAGTAAACATTTTACTAGAAAATGCTTCAGTTATCGCTTTGTAAAGCTAGTGGACTTGGGAACGTCCCTTTTTTTAGTGCGGGATGTGGTGTTCACTCGGGACGTCAGCGCAGAAGTGCAGTGGTTTGTTTGAAGTTTTGAAATTTTTTTGAGGACAGGTTTGGGAAGGGTAGTAATCGCTCGAGTGCAAAGCTGTAATGAATCAAAAAAGAAAGGTAAAATAAAAGGAGTTTGAAAATCGAAATTATACCCATAGCTGCAATTTTTGTCGATATTTGTAATCATACAAGTCTGGTTTTTGTAAAGGTTTTATTTATTACACTTACAATTTTGCTGTAGTCATCAAGTAGTACTGACCACTGGTCGATACGATCGGAGACTGGAAAAATTGTCAGCGCCTTAAAGGAATGAATTGCTTAGGTAAGGGTACTAACCTTCCAGTTAATGGTTTCAAGTAACAGAGGAGAATGCGGAATAGGGGTGCTAAATTTGATCTTCACAACTTTGTGTCCATGAGCAGAGTACGCTGCGAGATAATCCTTTATCAGGTCCAAAAGTGACTAAAAAATAAATCGGCGAATTAACAGATACTTTTTTTCAACGTTTTTAAAATTAAACATATTTCACCATAGGTTTCAGCAAAAACGGAAACCATGTTGAATTAAATGAGGGTGTTCAAGTTACTAAAAAGGCAGAATGCTTATTACAGTAACTTACTTCATATGCTAACGGCTTAAACATGAGGTCAGGTCTTCGACTTATTCCAATAGCTCCAAAAATTCCTTGACAGCAGACGCCCAGAACAATATGACCATACCGAAAATTTCCATGTATTGATTTAAAAGATATCGAAAAGCGCTGCAGTTCAGTGCATTCCCGAGTCAAATACCTAAATGTCACTTGAGATTTTAATTAGAATATTAGACGTACATCGCTAAGACAACAGCCTCTAAACACTTAATTGGTAAAGCTTCCCTAATAATTGTCTTGGCAATTTCCTCCAGTCTATGAGAATCACGGTCTCTTTTTAACTTACTGAATTATTGGTCTTGATTTAGGAATGACAAAAAACTGTGTTCCCGTAAAATTATACCTGACGTGTTCAGGAAAATTTACAATTAATGTGCATAACGTGCATTCACTTTAACGCTGTTAGGAACACACTCAAGCTGGTTTGTAAATTTTAAAATTATTAACGACTTCCCACATTGCTTAGCAAAATATCTAAATATTAAAATACTTACAATAAGAACAAAATTTCAAATTGGACTGCAAAATAACATAACCCTTTGATTAGATACTTAATTTTTTCAGATGTCCATGAAAATTTCAAGCTTCATAATCTACGTATAATCTATTTTATTAATACACCAGTAAATTTTGAGACACAAAGGATACTCTAAAGCTGAAATAAATGATTGCACGGCATTCAATTTTTCACTCAATGATTCGCAATAAGCCATTTTTCTTGGCGGAGGTGGACAGGCCTAAAAAGAAAGAGGACAGCAAAAGCAAGTAAGTTCAACACACTTACCTTTGGCTCTGGAGTAGCTGAGGCCAGTTGTAAAATACGTGTTCGAAAGTTTGGGTAGCAATCAATACAAAATTGAAATATTTTCACCCATGTACTGGCATCTATTGGGAATCCACCAAAGTAAACAAAGAAACGTTTCTTTGTGCTGATGTCACGAAACATAATGTCGGTAGGAACAAAATAAAGCCTAAAATTTTGTCATAAATCTTCTAACAACATTAGTATATTTAGGTCTGACTATATATTCGGAAATAAAGATGTCGTCACGAAAACAGGTTAACTGTTCAACAAAATTGCCAAATGACCTACAAATTCAATGGGCATTTAAGGTCATAATAAACACTTGAAATTTGTAGACATATCATCAAGGCTGCTCTAAAGGATAGCAGAACTAAATTTTTAATAACTAGCCACAATTTAAATGTTAATGGACATATACTGAGTCTCAAAATGGGCCATGGGCAATTGTCGATTGTACAATTGCATTGTCTTGAAGACATGCCGACTAATTAAATGCAGAATGATGACCTTTTAACAATTCAGAATTATAACTAATCTTCTAAATTATGTATATCCCATAATTACTAAATTTGCAAAGGAAACGAAAAATATCTCTTTTCATCATCTGATTTAACTTTAATGATATGCAAAATGAATCAATTATGTAAAAAGACGGGTTGTTCATAAGGCTGCATTTAGACAGTCTGGGGCTAACGCTTATCCTCTGAACAATGGCCTTTGTAGATGTAAACAATTTACGAGATAAATATACGTGTTATTAATTTAGGTAAATTATGAAGTTTGAATTTACATTGCGAATTTGACATTTGTAGCCAAAATCATAAGACAAATTTTGATGTTAATTCTAGTTGATGCAATAAAACTTACTTAAAATTAATCACAAACTATTTCGTTTTATTTGTAAATACCATTTATTTGTGTCTATATTTTTTTCACCAAGTTCTCAAAGTCTATACCAATCTTTTGCATTTAGGACTGAGAGTATTGATTAATAACTAAACCTAGGTGAAAGGGCTTTTGACAAAATACGTGTTCGTTGAAATTTGATTTCTTCGCATTAAACAGGACAAAATAATATGTCATAATATGACGACATTGAAAAATCCACCTTGGATCGGCTTTTCGAAGAATCATGTTGAATTTGTGGTATACATCTTAAGGTGTTGCCTCTCTCTTATTTCAAAATTGATAAGTGTATCTCTGAAAGCTGTAATGACATATTAAGCACTGAATTATCGACTTTCGCCATCCCTCAAATACATGTTTAAATAAACAAATTTGAACGCAATTGAAATTGAATTTTTAAACTTTCGTGAGCCAATCACATTTTATATGAGGAAACTTGCAGTTTTTAACGGTGGAAGTCTGCCAGGTGTTCAATTTAAAAAATATTTGAGGACAGTATAAATCAGTTGTGTTATGTTTACATGGGATGCATTTATATTTAATAAGAGGCTATGAGCTACAATAATATAGTCTCCTTCCTGGTTAGAAAAAATTTCTGCTTAGTAAAATTCAATTTCACAAAGTTCACCTGTTTGCATATTGTAAATGGGTAGAAATGGGAACAATACCTATATTGCAAGCTCAAGCGTCTTAAAGGTTTTTTTAAGATTGGGGTTTACATGGATGCACACCAGATTGTGGTTCTCCCACCGTTCACAAAACTTAATTTTTCAAATTAACCAGCAATAATTTGCATAATTTTTGTTTTATTATTAATATGGTTTATACATAATAAGAACTTATAAAATGTTGAAGACACTTGTGAATTTAAAAAATGATCTATTGTTGTTTTAACTAGGCAATTCAAGGATATAAATGTAACGGTGTTATTTTGAAATTTGACTTAAGGGTGAGAAATTTTTTTTTGCATTTTTTCCTGAATGGGTAACTTTATCATATTTGAATGCCACAAATGTCAGGTTTTGAAATCATCCTTTTTTGATCTAATCAAGGTGGTGTAAATAATTTTTTTCTCAATTTTATCTCACTACAACCTGCAACAAATCGCAACGAAGTGTTGCACAGAAACGTCTTTGTGTGCATTTACTTATTGGTATAAAGCCTATTCTTAGAGGTTTTCATTTTAATACTTTTTTGAAAATTGGTTTCGTAGCACAAAATCCGTTGGTTTATTTTTCGTAAATATAGTCTCTAATCTTAAATATGTGGCAAATGCTTTTGGATATTCTAGAATGTGATTTCATAAATAATATTCACATTATAATTGTTTTTTAAGGGTAAATAAAAAAAACTGGGCCAATGATCTAAAATTTGTCGTCTTTTTTATTGATCCGCGAAATGTTTTTGAGTTT